CGCTCACATGGCAATGCGCTCACATGGCAATGCGCTCACATGGCAATGCGCTCACATGGCAATGCGCTCACATGGCAATGCGCTCACATGGCGAATGCGCTCACATGGCGATGCGCTCACATGGCGATGCGCTCACATGACGATGCGCTCACATGACGATGCGCTCACATGGCGACACGGCGATGTGGCGATGCGCTCACATGGTGACACGGCGATGTAGCGACGCGCTCACATGGTGACACGGCGATGTGGCAATGCATCCACATGGCGACGCGCCCACATGGCGACGCGCCCACATGGCGACACGGAAATGCGCCCACATGGCGACACGGCGATGTAGAGATGCGCTCACATGGTGACACGGCGATGTAGCGACGCGCCCACATGGCGACGCGCCCACATGGCGACACGGAAATGCGCCCACATGGCGACACGGCGATGTAGAGATGCGCTCACATGGTGACACGGCGATGTGGCGACGCGCTCACATGGTNTGAGATGCGGCTTCACATGGGTTGACACGGCGAGTGTAGCGATGCCGCTCACATGGCGATGTAGAGATGCCGCCACATTGACGAAGCCGGCGAGTATGAGTCATGCGCTCACATGGTGACCACGGCGGATGTAGCAGATGCGCCTCACATGGTGACACGGCGAGTGCTTAGAGATGCGCTTAAGTATATAGTATAATATTATAGTACAGAGTATATATATTTGCTCGCCAATAAAAAGTCTGATTGTGCACTTGTGTTTTGAAATTACCAAATAATAGAAAGGAGACCTAAGTTCCGCACGAGTTACATTAAGCCCGGTGTAAAATATTGTGATTGAATGGTAGTTATACGACAAAGTGACTTTTCTTCGCCGTACAGATGGTGTGTATTGTATCATCTTTGAAGCATAATTAGATTGAGTTCTAGTTGGGCCTGGGAGCTGTTAAGTGCGCATAATTAGTACAATAAATATTGCCTTATTTTTTTGCCTAATGGTGGATAGTTAAGTTTGCAAATTTTATTTTCAGCTAGCAGGCTAGCTGGTGCAACAATCCATTCCAGTAGCCGGTTAGTCAATTTTAATTTTGACCTCTGTAGAAAGCGTGTTTAAAAGCTATAGGAATCCATTAGGAAACGCATCGCATGCATGTTTTTCTGTAATTTAAAACTAAACGTCATTAACGCCGCGGCTACAACATTCAACTACTAGTACTTACTTTCTGTATCATTTTTCTTTATTCATAGCCGTGGTACGGCGAGATCATTTGCATAATATCTTCTTTATTCAAGCCGGTACGGCGGGTGATCATTTGCTAAATATATTCTAGAACTACCTTAGGGCTATAGGATCGACACATGTCTTAGCCTATCTTCTGTGAATATTTGAGGTTTATTGACGCACGAACTTACTCAATATATTAGCAGAATATATGTACCGTGATCTCCACGTACCGCGCTTGGACTTGAATACTAGACAATCCCTAAGCAGTGCGGACTGCACCGAATATGGCGCTGTGGTTCACGTGACATATGTCAGAAACTGGCGGACGCTGGCGCTGGGGTATGAGCCTTCTACTTCTATTCTATTTCTGTGCGGAGGCGAACTAGCAATCTACTATGCAATAAAACAAAAATTGCCGATGAGTCACGTCTTGTTATTCTTAGTCTGTCATTTCTCACTCCACTTCTTCTGCTCGAATTTTAGTGGCTTTGTAGAAAATATTCCAATACAAATAAACCAAAAAATAAACTGACTATAAAAAAAATAAAACATAAAATAATATATCCCACACTGGGATATGAACCTGTCACCTCTCTGTCTACACCGACCCCTATGAGGTCGACGACGCTATCAACTGTGCTATCGCGCAAGTGACATTTTTCCAATGTGCGTGCTGGTCTAATGGCTAGTCTTGTGGACGTTATAAGCGGCGGTGAGGGCAGATGTCACAGGTTCGAATCATGCTAAGGTAAAATTGTTTTAATATATTTATTAAATTTAAGATCGTATTTACTAATGTTACTAATCATCCTAATTTTTAGAATTGAAATTTTTCCTCTGTGCATTTTTCCTCTTGTCAGAGCATATGTAGCATTAATTAGCAAGCTCTTGCACAGCTCTTGATCGACGTCCAAAGTGTACGTGGTAGCTAGGGGTGGGTCTGGATCAAGGCTTTCACGGATAAAGCTGCATGGGTTTACACTGACGGCATCAGAGAACGAAGCATCAGGAGGTAGGTGGGTGTGCGCCCACGGCCTAGGGGGAGAGCACGTTTTTGCTATCGGCGCCACAGTTGGCGCGTGGACTAATACATGCAGAAATTCGTATCGGCGTCGCCCCGCTCGCGCGTGATTTTCTTTTCCCTAGGTCAATACAAGGAACATAGGGCCTCTAAGTGAGCCGCTGCCATTGGTTGATACAAATCACGTGCCTCAAACTTCCTGTTTTATGGTGCATTGCCCACTGCATTTGACCCTAACTCCTACCCATAACCCTAACCCAAACACTATTCTAAAAAAATATAAAAAATTTAATTTTTAATTGTTGTAAAAATTAATTGTTGTTATTAAAATGTTGTAAATAAATCATGTAAAAATTTGCGTTAATTGGAAAAAATTGTTAAACGGATAAAAATAGAAAAATACAGAAAACAAGAAAATAATTAGAAAAAGGATGGAATTCGATCCACCGATCTTTCAGACTTGAATTGCGTGCTGTACTCGCTAGACTATTGAGGATATTGGTATTATGAATTTTGGATGTGCTATGAATATGACGATACTATGACGAAATTGAGCGACAAAACAAGCTCAACCAATAGCAGCGCTCACTAGAGCTCTATGTTCTTGATTGACCTAGGAAAAAAAATCACGCGCCCGCGTGTGCCTACGGGTCAAATGTTGAAACGTTTGCCGCCTCGCGGTCGATAACGTAATGTCAAGAGTAGATAATAACACTATCTGTAATAGTGTTATCTTGGTGTAGTGTAATTGTAATTAGTACCTAATAGTGTAATTTGTAATTAGTGATTAGTAGTTAGTAACAAGTGTAATTAGTAATACTAATAGTGTAATCTTATCATAATAACTCTGTGTTATTAAAATAATTATCTACTCTTGGTAACGTCGTAAGCGCTTTGAATATATAGAGAGGTTGAAAAACGCCAAGTCGCCTGCATAAAATCGGCCTAAAATCGTCAGTGTAAACCCAGCTTAAGTGACAAAAAAATCACGTTAGGGTGATAAGCAGCAAAAGCGTATTTTTTTAATTTTGCTCCAAAATCTAGGGGGGTAACCGGGCAGATGCCACCCTTGCCCCCTCTCCCCCAGAGAATAAATACATATATACATGTATATATGTTGTATACATGTATTGGTATTCATATATATGTTGTATATATGTTTATACATGTGTATATTGTGCAGCTCTGACCCAGTCTAATAAAATGAATAATTCGAAGACAGATGATAGCGGAAGAAGAAAACCCGATTTGCGTGCCATCTTTTACCTTTCCCGTCCCAAAACAAGAGGACATATTTGTATACACCTCGTGGCTGAATATGTCGGCGTGCACTAAATTTCAGTAGTAAGTATGCAACCATTCCATAAAATTATAAACTAACGAGTACCGTTCAGTTGTTATTAAGTTAGATCGAGCAATAATGATTAATTAGGTTGAATTTTGTTAGTCGATACCACTCCATTTTTCACAACATGCAATCAAACGAAACATTCACAACAAGAACTTGAACTAAAGCAGTCGACTTGTTCCAAATAGGAAATAGGCCACAGGCACTTGCCACTGGCTGGTCGGGGTTCGATAAATAGCAACCCCGTTCTGCGCCTACCGTAGTGTGTATAAGAGTGTAGCCGGGGTTCGATAAATAGCAACCCCGTTCTGCGCCTACCGTAGTGTGTACAAGAGTGTATATGAGAGTGTATTTTATATACACTCTTATACACACTACGGTAGCAGGGTTCGCCACAAGCTTTTTAGCTCACCTTGACATCGTCAAGCTGAGCTATTGCCATGCCAGGTCGTCGTCCGTCGTACGTCCGTCCGTCCGTTCGTCAACATTTCGCTACGGTAAACGATAACTCAGGAACCGTTTGACCCACATGTTTGAAATTGGGTATAGTTGTTACTGCTATGCTCCCATATTAAACGTCCTATTTTGAAGCACGCTAGTCGACGTACTTTCGAGCCACGGTAATTTTTTGGCAAAAATGGGAATTGCCATTAGTCAGTTCAGGTTCAACGGATTTTGCTCATTTTTGGTATGTGAATGAATAAAAGCTAGGGGTTTTGATATTTAAAAAAAATTATGCAAATTAGGTAGGGTTTGGCAATTGTATAACATATTATATAGACACAAACAGTCTGTGGTGTCACACTCGTCTGGTTCGTTTTACAAGATTTCATTGACAATATCTTTAATGCAAAATTGGTGTTTCCTCTCTGGACACCCTGCCGATAAAACGTCTATATTAGAGTAAAGTTTTACAAAACATGTCGGAACGCAGCATAACCTATTTATTTCAAACGCCATCGCTAAAAAGCGGGTATAGCGCCATCTACGGTCACAAATTGTGATTAATTTTGGTTTATAAATTATTATTGCGATATACAGATGGCAATCGTTTCTATAATGTACGTTGATGGTTGCTCAATTAAAGTGTGTACCGCGAGTTTTTTGGCTCAGAAAAACGAAATATAGCAGAATATAGTCTCACCTGACAGTGGAAGTATCACTGATTATACCAACATTCAAAACACCAAGATTTTATGCAGTTATAGCATAGAAAAATTGATTTGACCACATCATACCAGCAATAAATTTTTCCGAGTAGTGACTCTCAAAAATTACAAATGGCGTCTCAAACAAGCAAACATAATTAAAACAAAAGGGCATGCAATTCTGTTTAATAAATATTATTGAGTTTTTATGTCAATAATTCAGAGCACTTTCTGTCATTGTCATTCCCCTTGTTACTATCTGACTGGCAATCCACAAGCTTCTTTAATAACAAACTTTACGTGGCATTAGTACTACACTGCTGTTTACGCTAGTATGAGCTGCTGTGTTTACACTCTGACCTGATTTCTACGGTGCGTGGTATGCATTTCTGCACCGTGATAGATGTCTCGCGAGTGCTCGCATAGCTACCACGAGAAAATTCGAGAGATGGCAACGGTAAACAGAAACAGAACACAAAATTGTAATCATGCATGATTTCATTGGATTTGGTGAATACGAAGGTTCTAAGACATTTTATCATTACTCTAGACAATTGCTGTTACTCAAGCAATAACGGTAGGTATCATGAAAGTGGGGAAAACACTAGAAAATTCTCGCGGTACACACTTTAAAACTGATTTCTTCTTACTCACTCATTTGTGTCCTTTTTTGTGGTGAGCTACAGTGTCATTGACACTTTCATTTATTATAGCATTGGGGTGCCGCTCAGTGGTAGGGCCTAGGATTAGGGGGGTGCGGGGGCATGCCCCCCCCCGGCAAATTTTAGAATTGTAGAAGCTCTGAATTGCAATCTGGGACACTCTGTGTGTATTTTGAAGCACTGCATGTGGGGTGGAGATGTTTGTTTTGCATGGGCAAAGCCATCAGAAAATTCAAAATAATAATGGAATAAAAATACCAAAATGTAGGGGTGAACTTGCTGGTTAAGTGGTTTGCTGGATCCAAATTGAGTTCACCTCTCATAAATCAGAAAACCTGACATATACCAGTGTTAGAAATAGCAGCTGGTCCCATATAGTCCCTGACTGGTAACTTTTCAGCAGGGCTGGCTACTTTTGGAGCAGGACTGGCTAATTTTCAAGAAAATTACTGTAGCTTATATTGCGGATTTAGAATTTTTTTTAATCAGGACCGGATGGAATTTTTGTCTTATTTCCAACACTGCATACACATACCAACTATACTGGTACTGTAAATCTTCTTATATCATTTTACTCATTTGTATTATGTAGTTTTACTATCGCCGACAGCTTTACAATACTGTTCTGGATCGGACTTACCATTTGCCTTTGGCTATGTCCACTGTTTGTATTTTGTTATTGTGGGCTCTACTCCTAGTGTTATGTACAAAAAATACAATGGCAGGAGTGGTTGGTAAGTGTACCAGTCTACTCTACCTCATGTTAGACTGGGTTGTACCTGCCCCGTAATAATGCCGTTGGAAATTAATTCAAGATTTCTTGATGAGCTAGAAAACACTCGGATTTGAAGTATGAAAATGAACATTATTGTGCCATCTAGCCTACACCAGTTGGTTGGGATTGATTGTCAGTTCAGATGCAAAATATTGAAAGCAAAAGGTTATACACCATAGATTAATTGGGTACTATAACACGCGTATATAAGATAGCTGAGTCGGTTTAGAGTTAGTGTTGGGGTTAGGGTTGGGTTAGTGTTAGGGTTAGGGATAGGGTGACTGTTTGTACTTGTCTGTGGGACTGCCGTACCCGTAGCCTCGAGACATTAAGATACGGCTGCAGCGCATGCGTGGTGTGACTGCCGTACCCGTAGCCTCGAGACATTAAGATACGGCTGCCGTACCCGTAGCCTCTGCGTATAAACAACGTGTGTTAATTGTTTGAATTTCTTGTGTATACACCAACATGGCGGCTATGATATTTAGAGTGGTGGGTGCATTTTTGGATGGCGGGGCTCGACGATAGCCTGGCGGGCCGCCAGGCTATAAGTACTCTTGGAGAACCCTGGGTAGGCGCAGAACGGGGTTGCTATTTATCGAACCCCGACCAGCCAGTCGCAAGTGCCTGTGAAATAGGCCTACACCAAGTCAAATGACAGATTCAAGCTTTATGCAAGTTGAATAGGTCTGCAATAATACCAGTACAGTAGTACTATTGATGGTAGTACTACGACTAGTAGTAGTGTCAGGGGTAGTATCACTATTACTGATAGTCCAAATAGATAGTAATTTAAATTTTAGTATAGCAATTTGCCAATTATCATGTTTGAAACTAAACTGACCAGGCTCTACGACTGTTACACGGCGTAGGACTCTCGCCAACGTAGTGTTAAGCGAGAAGGGAACTTGTGGCTAGTTTGAAGCTAGCTCTAGTAACTATAGCCTGCGTACGGTTGCCGCTAGCTCTAGTACTATAGGGCTATAGAACATTCTATGTTGAATCATGTCACTTTTTCTGCTCCCACTGCTCCCATGAAAGATGTCTCACAAAACGCAAAATGATCGGGCCTTTTAACACTTATTTATCTACATGGACCTCTCACCTATGTTTTTGAAAACTTTCCACGACTTTACACCATGTATTTATGCATTTATTCCTCAAAGTGCTAGCACTACCTGCGATTTCGTTTGAAATGCTCTCGTGTGAGTCGTGACGTCACCCGAAATGTAATAGGCTGCCCATGTGTTTTGTCTACATTTGTAGTGTGTTTGTACACATGGAAAGTGTTCAACAGGATTCAGTGTAACAGGATTGAACATAGAATGTTCTATAGCCCTGCGGCGGAGCGAAGGGCTATAGTACTAGAGCTAGGTTGCCGCTGGGAGCGACGGTAGCCAGCGGCAACCGTACGCGGGCTGTAGTTACTAGAGCTAGTTTGAAACTAGCTCTAAAACTATAGCCCTCCGCTCCGCCGCAGGACGCGCAGGATAGCCTGCGGCGGAGCAGAGGGCTATATAGTTCTAGAGCTAGTTTGAAACGTGCTTTATTGTGTACTTACTGTACTATAGAAACCTTGTCTTATTATCAGGTACTCTACCACCAGTTGTTAACCCGATGTTAAAGCTGACATAGGTCAACATCAGCGATCACGTTATCAGAAGTCTAAAGAAGATCTGCCGACGTATCAATTGATTGTGTGATAAGCTTTCAAAGAGAAACCAGAAAAATGTTGGTTCTTTTTGAAACCCCAGCTGGCTATGCAGTATTTAAGGTAAGTGTGAGCTTATTACTTGTGCTACTAGTACTAGTAGTACTAATGCCATGAGTAGATCTATTGAGCGAACATGCAACTGCACTGTGTGGTATAGTCATCCCAACATACAAGTGACGTCATCAGTAAGAATGTATTGGAAGATGTTTATTTTCACCTCTGCAGTTTTTATGTCGCTATAATAGCTGTAGGCTGTGAAACGTTTGCTATATATCGTGATATTTGATTAAAAACACCTATATATATTGAACTTTGAGTTCTTACCTCAGTGAAATATAATCATATACGCTTGGTTAGTCGGTTTGCGATATTATGATATAATGATTTAGGTAATGGAATATTTCATACATATTTCTTTAGCTTCTCGATGAGAAGAAGCTGCAGAAAACTGAAAACCTGTTTCATGACTTTGAAACTCCTGAAGGAGCAAGTAAAGTGTAAGTATATCCGTGTTGCATTACCAGGATTACTGAACAACCAATTTCCTTTAGTTGGAATATGTGACCTAACATCAGTTAATATGTTGTTTAGTGGAATCTTGAAGGCCAAGCCATAATTGGGCAAGAATGACTGGTCTTGTGTCAAATTTTATATGTATAGTTTGTAATGTGTTTTATCTTGTAGCTAATTTTTTTTTTAATTTACCAGGGTCAAGTTGAAACAATTTTCTAAGTTTGAAGATACAACTGAAGCACTTGCTGGTAGGTATACATAACAGTTATTTATCTTTACATTTATAGCTTTCAAACAATTTAACATGAATATATATGTACATGCAGTTGTATGTAGTGTTTAATCAGACAGTTATATTTCTAATAATAAAATCATGTTATTGTCTGTATGGCCAATGGTGGAAGCAATCTAGATTATTATCCATGATAAAATTATTAATCTGTATGTGAATGTATCATATGTGAGATATTATATATATCTATTCTGGTCCTCAGCTAGAACTTACCATAAGAACTTACTACTAGAACTTACATATTATGTCATTAGATGTGCATGTGATCTACATAGTGTTTCATGTGATCAGGTGTGAGATATAAAATTTGAATCTGACACATCTCACAATTCTCTGGCGCATGTTAGTGTTATTTTATCTCAAGCACATTCTGGCTTGCTTATAATGTGCTCGTTTTATATTGAGTTCCTGACTTTGTTTTCCTAGCTGCAACAGCTGCTATTGAAGGTAAAATGAGCAAAAACCTGAAGAAGATGCTAAAGAAAATTGTAGCAAAAGATGCGCACGAACAACTTGCTGTTGCTGATGCAAAGTTGGGCAATGTTATCAAGGTATGCAGGGTGCAAAATTAACGGGAGTCCGGAGTCAAATACTCCCTTATTTACTGTTGGACTCCCTGATTTGACATATGTAGGAGTCCGTGTGACTCCCTGAAAATTCTGCCATACTAACGAGTTCATTCCAGAGCACGGCCTTGCGGAATTACCATATTTTTCAGCTAATGTCCAAAGAAAATTTGGCAGACGTGCAACAGCATGAATCTTAAAAATAAGCACATGCGTTATTGTTAATATCTTTAATTTTGAACGCTCAGACTTGCGGAGCGTCCGCATCATTTTGCTGCGGATCCTCTTTTTGCGGGTAAGGGAGTCTGTTGAGCTTCCCGTGTTCAAAAGTTCATTTCTACCCCTTTTATGTAAAAGTAGTTTAGCTCATTTTTCTTTACACACTCATTCTGCTGACGAATACAATATTGGGTCAAAGTTAACGCCTATATATGTGATATATATATATATCCATATCAGTATATATATATATATATGTACATTTAAGTCATTCAATTTAGCACTATATTGTTTTACTACAGGATAAGCTCAACCTTAGCTGTGTTGCAAACTCGTCCATCCAAGAGCTGATGCGTGGAATCCGTGCACAGATGAGCAGTCTCATCACAGGAATTGACCAGAAAGATATCAGTGCTATGGCACTGGGACTGGCTCACAGGTAAATCAGTCTTTGTTGTAACCCTAGTGTACTGCACTGCTGTATTTGGTTTGGTGGCTGCTTCACCGTTATTACTAAGCAGCCATCACAAATGAGCAGCTGTAACAAATACGCAACTGTAACACATAATAATTTATTCCAGGACAGTAGCAGCCTCAGTGTGGTTTACAATGAAAATGTTAGTAATGAAAATGAATTTTGAGGTCAAATGATCTCTGCACGTTTTAGTTGTGTGGTGTTTAGCACCAACAGTGGTATAAATGAATTTGCTTGAGAGAGAGAGAGAAGGAGTTTTCATTTTGTGTAAAGGTTGACTGCTATCATGGCAATGATATGTGCCTCCACTGTTCTTGTCTGATCTGTCACTGTTGTCTTTGAAATGGATTTTATTTTATTTGTAATATGTTCAAATATATTCCAATAGTTTGTCAAGATACAAGCTTAAGTTCAGTCCAGACAAAGTGGACACAATGGTTGTTCAAGCCATATGTAAGTGTATTTTATTCTTCATTCTTTACTACAGTCGAACTTTGTTACTACGTACCCTGTTTATTACGTTTACACTGTTACAACGTGCACATCTCCAAGTCCCGAATTTGTGTAATGCATTATTCCATTTGCCAGTATCGCTTCGTTTACAATGTCCACCTTTGTAACGTAAACTTCAATACAACGTTCAAATTTTCACTGGAAAAATGCATACTAACCTTTGTTACAACGTACGGTACACTATTCTTGGGCGTGTGGCCAGTAAAGTGACAAAGCAGACAAAGATTACTGCGTTTTTCAAGTTTTGTAAGTCTGTAAGTAAACGAACTGATTCAGTGGCATCATCAACATTTAAACTCATCCATGACATCGGCGAAATTACCGTGGGCTCTTTCATTTCGTTGAGTGCAAATAACGGCAACAAAAGACGGGTGTCTTCAATACATTGTTTTATTTTACTCTAAATTTACAAATTTGTTACATGTGTTATCATTAAACATTCATGTTTTAATTCTTGCGTTAGCGTTTATTTTATGGGAATTGGTTACAACGAACTATCGTTATAACGTACTGATTCTTAAGGTCCCTGGAGGTATGTTGTAACGAAGTTCGCTTGTACTACAGTTTTTATTGCTCTTGTATGTTCAACAGATGACCACAGAGCTTTAATAGTCCTAGAATGACCACCTAGATTCACACGATTTATTTGAGTATAATTCAAATATTTTAGTTCACTTGTATGGGGCTTGTTGTTCGTTGTTTTTTTAAACGGAGTAAATCTTCATGCTCGTCTCGAGAATTTAACACTAGATGCGCCGCTATGTTTTGTGAGCCAGCTGCTATGCCGTTTGGGTGGAAGTATCTACACTGTGTGTGTGTGCTAAAGTGCTGTAATGCTGTCTTGGTTGATTCCTGTCATCGACGGACAGAATAATATGTTTAACCTGCTGATTTTTCCCGTAGCTCTGCTGGACGACTTGGACAAGGAGTTGAACAACTACGTGATGCGATGCCGAGAGTGGTATGGCTGGCACTTCCCTGAGTTAAGCAAGATCATCGGCGACCATCTTGCCTTTGCGCGCGTCGTCACGAGAATGAGTGAGTGTGCTTGTGTTTAATGGTTTTTTTTCAGTCTAGTATGTCACACAGATGTAAAAAAAATAAAAAAACATCTCCCAACTCGTTTTCTGCCTTTGCGCGCGTCGTCACGACACTGAGTGTGTGTGCTTGTCTTTTAATATTGTTTTTACTCTAGTAATAGTATGTCACGCTAACGTAAAAAAAACATGGAACAGTTCTTATGGAATAGTCAGTCGTTCACTCATCATATTGAAGCAGGGTGCGAAATTAACGCGAGTCCGGAGTCAAATACTCTCTGATTTACTGTCGGACTCCCTGATTTGACATATGCAGGAGTCCGTGTGACTCCCTAAAAATTCTGTTATACAAATTAGTAGTAGTTCGTTCCAGAGCACGGCTTCACGGAATTACTGTATTTTTCAGCAAATGTCCAAAGAAAGTTTGGCAGACGTGCATGGCAATAATCTTCAAAATAAGCACATGTATGCGTTATTGTTGTTATGCTTTAGTTTTGAACTTCAGATTGCGGACTCCCTCATTTTGCTACGGACTCCCTCTTTTTGAGGGCAGGGAGTCAGTTGGACTCCCTTGTTCAAAAGTTAATTTCTACCCCTGTTGAAGTGTGCGACCAACATACCATCCTTGTTTCCTTACAGGGGTGAGGACAAATGCTGTTGATACAGATCTTTCAGATATACTGCCCGAGGAGGTAGAAGCAGCAGTGAAATCGGCTGCCGAAATATCTATGGGCACAGAGATATCTACTGAAGATATCGACAACATTATTCACCTTTGTGAACAGGTAAAATTAAGTTCTGTTCTTATTATGATTTAGATGGGGGTCGAGTAAAGAATTGTGATCGTATTAGCAGAAATGTAATGGTCTATAATAATAAATGAATGAATTATCTGTTTTCTAGTGAGATGATATGTAGCACCAGGAAAGTTTGTGTTTATGGATATAATACAAAAAAATGCCCTGATATTTTATCGATACTGACTCACAATTCTAACTAAGAAGTTGTCAGTTCTAAACGCGAGAGGGTAGCAGCTAGCTGCCAACTCGAGTTCGATTTTCGCCAATATACTAGATTTTACCGCTTAATATCTCAGCGTATGGACAAGCGGTTGGTTTTATATTATCAAAGTAGAACTGCTGAATAATAATACTGCAAAGAATTGTCAAATAAAATGGGTAAAGTTTACTAATTCTACTGAAATTACAATGCGGTTGTTGCATTTCACCGTTGTACGCTCTTATACTTAATACGCTCTTGATACTGTATAATGTAAGTTGTTTTTTTGTTTTTTTCTTTCAACAGATCATTGAATTGACAGACTACAGGACACAGTTATATGAGTACTTGAAGAACAGAATGCTTGCTATCGCTCCTAATGTCACTGTTTTACTAGGAGAACTCGTTGGAGCTCGACTAATTGCACATGCTGGTAATTGCTGTTGTTATGACGATTTATTTATTGCTTGAATTCTTAACTTCTCACATCTTCTCTTGACATGCTGAAACTTAAACTGAAGTGTTGTTGATGCAAAATTATGTTCCCTGAAACTTCTATGAATTTTCCATATTCTCAGAACGGCTGTCTATTTTTCAAGGTCACCTTATCTAAAGAAAAAATCGAAAACGGAAATAATTTAGAGGGCGTTTTATACAGTTCTATTTGCCATATCATGAGTATGTGTAATTAATCAGAATAATCCAATCAAGTGTGAGAATGCTCTTATCGTTTTCTGTTATAAGCATATTACATGTTATAATATATGTACGCCCAGTACTGATAAGTTATGTGGTTTCCGTGCAAAGGATCCCTGATGAATTTGGCGAAGCATCCAGCCTCTACAGTTCAAATTCTCGGCGCAGAAAAGGCACTCTTCAGAGCGCTGAAAACCAAACACGATACACCAAAGTATGGCTTGATATATCATGCTTCACTGGTTGGGCAAAGCTCTGCAAAGCTGAAGGGAAAGGTGAGATGTAATGGTGTAAAATTAGGTTCTGGGACTAATTAAAAAATAATTAGAAGCCTTCGCGTACAATTTCTGTGAATGTTCAGAACACCCCCCCCCCCAGCTTGTTTTGAGTGACATTTCCTAGCATAGTGGCTTCACCTCACCTGCGTGTTCTTTTTAAATAACTACAGATGTCCAGAATGCTGGCAGCAAAATCAGCATTGGCAATCAGAGTAGATGCGCTTGGGGAAGACCAGACCTTTGATATCGGCACGGAGTTCAAAGCGAAATTGGAGTTGAAGTTGCGTGAGATGGAGCAGACAGGGCCGATGGGAGTTAGTGGGCTTGGCAGAAAGAAGGCTCAGTACGAGAAGTATGAAAACAAAAGGTATGTGATTCTGTACCGACATACATTGTTGGCTATACGAGGATCTGTCTAAGATCATTTAATGACTGCTTATATATATATATATATATATATATATATATATATATATATATACATACATATAAATAGATATATGTATGGAAAATATCTTTACTGGTAAAAATTATTTTTGTTTTTAAATGTTTACTGATAATCAGTATGAGGAATAGGTACTAACAGTTGTAATAAAATATTAGTACACCCAATTTAGTATAAATCGGAATGAAAGTGTTACTGTTGGTGTGTTTTTTGTTTGTTAGTGAAATCAAGACCTACAATTCTGGGATGGATTCAACTATTCCTGCTGCTGCAAAAAAACGGAAGCTTGAAGAAAGTGACACAGATAAGACCCCCGTCAAGGCTAAAAGGCAAAAGTCTGATGAACTGGAGGTTAAGGAAGAACCAGGTAGGCATTACTTACTTGACTCACAAATCAGCTTAGCGACTGAGAAATGAAATAGTCGTTGGAATCATTCAATCTATTACATTTATTAATTAAAGAAAGAGAAAAACTACATGGAAAATATAAAATGATTGCAATTTATTCTTATGGGTTGCGTACATGATGGTACTTCCACTATGAAATAGGGTTACACAAGCAGTTTTTATACATATAGCATGGCAGAGTAATAGTATATGTTTTGATTTTGTAGGTGCTGGCACAGGCAAGACTCCTGCTAAAGCTAAGAAGCGAAAATCAACAGGTGAAGTCAAATCTGGACCAGGTACGTCTTAGTGGTTCTTGTCCTCACCTATTGCAAGTTAATGCTGTATTGAGGTTGTCATTTATATATATATATATATCAGGGCATGAAATTCAGATTTTTTTGCATCGACCCAGAGGGCTAGTAACAGTAGTTTTTTTTATTTGTATGGGTTCTGTACAGTATGGCACTACCACTATGAAATAGGGTTACACAAGCAGTGTTTATACATATAGCATGGCAGAGTAGTAGTATTTTTGATTTTGTAGGTGCTGACACAGACAAGACTCCTGCTAAAGCTAAGAAGCGAAAATCAACAGGTGAAGTCAAATCTGAATCAGGTACGTCTTAGTGGTGCTTGTCCTCACCTATTGCAAGTTAATGCTGTATTTTGGTTGTCATTTATATATATATATATATATATATATCAGGGCATGAAATTAAGATTTTTTTGCACCGACCCAGAGGGCTGGTAACAGTAGTTTTTTTAGCTCACCTTGACATTGTCAAGCTGAGCTATTGCCATGGGTCGTCGTCCGTCGTACGTCCGTCAACATTTCGCTATGGCAGGCTTTCATTTTTAAGGGGCGCGATCGCGCTCGCGCTCCACCGCGCACCCGAAATTGTGCCATGGTGCGTGCATCATCGCGCCTCATAAAAGTGGTTGAAATCGCGCACCAGAAGTCTGTGTATTATGTTGAAATAGCGCTCCATTTTACAGGGATGAGAATCTTCCACGCGGCATAGATGACCGGCGGGATTTTCACAGTCAGGGGTTCCGATTTTGTGAAAGACGTTTGAATCCGTTGAGAGAATTTTGGGGGTTAGATAATGTACAAAATGTTTCATTTTTACAGTCAGCAGCACTACAAACCAGTTACTTCATTATTAATAAGCATTGTATATAGTTTCGATTGTTAAATATAGAACGGGCTTAGTCTCACTGTTTGAGTAATTGTCAGATCGTTGGCAGGCAGTGAGTGGTGGGCGTTGGTATTTGACGCCGGTAAGGCGGCGTGGACGAGGTATGATGATGGTGTGGTGGGATGCGTCGTAGCTAGGACGCAGATGCGTATATATAGTAGACGCGAGTCAGGGATCGACTATGGTAAGCTAAGAGCCGGCACGCGTCAACGGCGTAGGCCGGTTGAGGAGAACTAGTCTTTCCCTGTCGCATAGAGTTGTCAATGTTGCAAGTGGATCCGCGAAGCCCTGACTGAGTATCCTATTATAGCCAACATATAGTTTCAGTAGCCAATGAGATGAGCTTTTTCATAGCACGCTTTGTGGCGTATTTTAAACAGAATGAAGAGAACCTTATAAGGGTGTGATTTTTAGTGCAAGCATACTATCAATGCCCTGGCTTAAGGTGTGATTTTTTAATGGAGCTCTCACATCATAGCCTCTTAAGGGTGTGATTATGGAGTGTGAAAAGTCCCTAATGGTGTATTGTAAGGGAGTGCATTAGTAATCCTCAGCTGTACATTTTTCAAATCTGAAAGCTGCCTATGGTTCAACGATAACTGCTCAGGAACGTTTGACGCCTAACATGTTTGAAATTGGGTATAGTTTTGTTATCGCTATGCTCGCCCATTATTAAACGTCCTATTTTTGAAGCAGGCGCAGTCGAGGCGGTATGTTTCGAGCCGGACGGGCGGAATTTTTTGGGCGCAAAGATGGGCCATTGCCATATAGTCAGTTCAGGTTGCAACGGCATTATGCGGAGCATTTTTGGTATGTGATGAGATAAGGGCTAGGAGGTTATTGAATTATTTAAAAAAAAATTTATTACTGCAAATTAGGTTAGGGTTTTGGCAATTATACCGATAATTATATAGAGACAACAGTCTGTGGTGTAACAACTCGTCGTGGTTCGTTTAACAAGATTTTCCATTGACAATATCCTTTACATCGCAAAATTGGTATATTTCTGCTCCACCCTGGACAGATACAAAAAAAACGTCTATATTAAGAGTAAAGTTTTTAGCGACAAATTGTCGGAACGGCAAGCGATAACCTATTATATTGTGCAAGAACGCTCAGATGACATTCGCGTACAAAGCGGCTAATACAAGCGCATCTACGGTCACACCAAATTGTGATTAATTTTGGTTTATAAATTATGTATTGGGCGATATACGAGATGGCAACTCGTTACTATAATGTCCATGCGGATTAGGTTGCTCCATTAACAGCTGACATTACTCTTTACTTGCCTCATCTTGTGTCCGTTTTTTTTGTGGTGAGGCTGCAAGCAGGTGTCATTGGGACGACTTTCATTTTAGTTTGTATGGGATTTCTGGTACGTATGGCCTAGCCGACTAATTGAAATGAGGGTTACAGCAGCAGTGTTCTTTTTTCATATAGCAATTGGCAGAGTAATAAGGGATGCTTTTTGGATTTTGTACGGGTACTGAACACGACAAAGACTGCTGGTGAGCGGAAGTAAGAAGGGGAAGAGGTCAACGAGCGTGAAGTCCAACTGGGCACGTGAAGGCAGGTCGTCTCAGTGGTTGCTTGTCCTCACCTATTGGAAGTTATGCTCGTAATTTGCTTGTATATATATATAAATATATATAATATATATATATACTATATATATATATATATAGTATGATATAGATATAAGTAAAAACACCAACGCGCACGTCACATCGAAAGAGATAAGATAAATTTAAAAATAGAAATAGGTGTCCAAATTTTATTTGTCAACTTTACGCAAGCTTTCGAGAACATATGTCTCTTCGTCAGACGACAACAACAGAATTTCTGTTGTTGTCGCCTGACGATCAGGGCATGAAATTCAGATTTTTTGCTCCAGCCCGCAACTAGATGTTATTTTCGTTGTGTTACGAATCTTATGATGTATTCATATCCAATTTTCTATGCTATAACTGCATAAAATCTTACTGTTTTTCAAGTTAGTGTAATCAGTGATATATCCGCTGTGAGGTGAGACTATATATATTCTGCTGTTATAGATGACAGCATTGCCACCTCTGAGAAGAAAAAGAAGAAAAAGAAGAAAGACAAGTAAAGGATGATGAGGATTAATATATGGTGGATGAAGATGTGAAAAGAATTTTTTTTAAGTTTTCTAAATATTCGGAAGTAAAATTATAACGAATGTGTACTCAAAAGAAACAGTAATCAGTTGACCATTCACAGTTTCATGCTGTGATCATCTATACTTTGATTATTTTCCCAAGTAGCCTTAAACTTTAAAAAACCATGGCAGTTTCAAAAACCTTAGGATTCATTGGGGGTTAATATCAAGTTTTAATTTGTTAGTGTTAAGTTTCAATGGAGTTGGCAAATTAAACATTGGAAATGGTATAAGTATATGACATATGTTAATTGAGAAATTAAGGCCCCCATCTCTGAGATGTAATCATGTGTAAAATGCAATCATAGTGGGACCATCCTATCATCAGACGGTCTAACGTGTGCTATAATGAGTACCATAGCTGCAGGAGCTGTTACTTGATGCCAACTGTCTAACAGTAGATACGATTATGAATGAGAGATTGTATGGCGTGTTTTTATAAAAGAAATTTAAGTTCTTCAAATACAATTGTAGTTGTAGAATTTATGCTATCTGTGTTTTTATTACTCGTGATTTTTTGTTTCCATGTGGTATGTACGCATGCATTGCATACTGCATTGTGCTCATCGTATTCATTTTTGCAAAATGAAAACGTGTGGTACATTCTCCAGCATCTCTATGCAATAGCTCTTGTCTGCCTCAAGCATAGAAATATATAGACACACTAACTAGTATAATATTATGTGCTATATACTCTAGTTAGTATTCTATAGTCTCAAGTGTGTCTTTTCTCGCTTATATGACATACACGCGTCACAGTGTGAAATAACCAGTTTTACACTGGTATGTGTTGACAGTTTCACAGTGTTGACCTTCGCAGCTGTCTAGTTCGGAAATTTAGTACCCGGATTTAAAACGTTATTAACCTAAATAAACATCCTGTATCTATCCGTCGTGTGTAGAATTTATAACATCCTATTTCCTGTATTCAAAATCCACATTGGTATAACCAGGGGCGGCGCCAGAGGGGGGCAGGGGGGGCGGTCACCCCCTCCTATCATTTGGAAGAAAAGGGAAAGAAGAAGAAGAAACGTCTTGCAAATGATAGGGGAGGTTATAGGCCCGGGGGTCGCCCCCTATCATTTTCTTGCAAATGATGGGGGGGGGTTAATATGTATCCAAGCTGTGTCTGATATGGTAATTTTATGAATATTAATGAACCCTCACTGTAATCGCGGATATTTTTGACCAATCAGAAACGTCTAGTTTGAACGTGTCCATAGACTGAAATACCACGCGCATGTTCGTTACACAAGTAGCCTAAATCCCTCCAGCCCACTGACGCGAAGCTGCAAGGTTATGTTATTCCGTATGATGCCACCACAAAAAAATGAGTGGTGTAGCCTACAAGCTGGACCACTTATCGAAAAGTCGAAAAATTAAGTGTCGAAATTCAATCCATATAAAACCTGTGCTTATTTTGATAATCGATGTCAATGTGTTATTTCCTTGGGAGTCCCAAGTTGGGACCATCATTTGTCGATGATGCTGTTTCCCGGCGGAAAGGTAGGCCCACTTGAGGGCGTTAATAACTTATGTTTATGAGACATTTCCGCCGTTCGGCAGATTTCCAGCCATTTTAGAACTCCAGAGACCATTTCTGAGATCAGTTTTTTTTTGGGGGGGGGGGTAAGAATACCTCCGTGGGCTCTGACGATCGCGTACATGTGAACACACTGTGACTCGGTAAGTTAACTATCCGGAGCGCTTCTACTCGTATCATTGTCTTAATGTATGCTTGTTAACATGATGATAAAAGCTGAGTACGGGCCTGTACGGCCAAACTTCATTGGCATTCAAGAAACGGGCGTGGGATGTTCAGACGTACAGGTTAGCACCACTGATCTCTATAATATAATTATATTATATTATATTATATATTATATATATATTATATATATATATATTATATATATATATATATATATATTATATATATTATATTATAGAGATCAGTGGTTAGCACAGGTTCCTGAATCCAGTAGCAGCGTTGGCATACCAAAAATGGATAAGAAGTGGGTGGAGCTTACTTTTGGCCAGTGTGTGGCCAGGGTTTATTTACGTGCACGGGTCGTGCGGCACGCTCACTGTTCACGTGCGCTAGGTTGTGGAGTAATTCGCACATCCCCGCGCATTTCACGTTTGGATGTAAACAATAAAGTATATCACTGATAGTTAACAAACGATCAGTATGTACTGTTTCAAAATAATATTAAGAAGATTTATGTAATATAGCATGTTGAATTATACAGTAAATAATAATAATTGTCTCAAGTTTTAACACACATAAGTCACTGTAGCTGCAAATCACGTCGTATTACTAATTACTAGTCATGTAAACAGCAGTACAGCCTCGTCGCACCACTCAGGTTTAACCGTGTCATATTGTTTTTAACGTTTGGAAAAACTATATACATTTTATACAGGGTGTAGCTAAATAAAAGCTTCCCTACGTAAGAGCTTGTATGTCTACAAAATACATTTACTTTGGACACACTCAACACAGACGGAATTCCCAAGTGCCCATCAAAATTTGACAGTAAGTAATTTTTTACTTTTCCACTAAAAAGTGTTGCTAGTTGTGAGCTATTGGAGTACCCTGAAATGACTCTAGATTGCATCTCAAAGCTTATAATTTTCAAAAAAAAATTGGGGGGGATGCCCCCAGACCCCCCTAGAAGTCACACCCCCCTTCTCCCTTTTCGGGCCTTTTCAGCAGTTGTCTGTCTCATGCTTGTTACAAACTGTTATTGTTCATCTTATGTTAACTGTCAGTTAACATAAGTTGAACATTAACAGTTTTTATCGGGAAATTTGCTTAAAAGTATGCACCAAATCGCACCATTCCTTCTACATTTTTCAAAAAATTCCAACATTCCAACAGACACCCCCCCCCCCTGCGTCGAGCAAGCGCGACGAACGGCGCTTGCGCGCCGTCTCGCCCCCTTATCAAAATACCCTGGCGCCGCCCCTGGGTATAACTAGATCATCGCTATACATAAACTCACAGATGTCGAGTTTCCTTCTAATGCGCTTCTCGTGTTTCCAGCGTAAAATGATGCAGACCATACTTGTATGTTTTAATTTAATGTTGCTGTGTGCGTATTTAGGTGCAAATGCTGCTCCAGATGTTCCGACCCAGCCTCTACAGTGTGTGGTGAGTAGGACCATTCTAATTCTATGCGTGTATATATTTTACACCGAGATGTAGGGTACAGATTAATAAAGCGATCGCCAATGTATATATTTTATGTCATGAATGATTTCACCTTCCCTTAAAACAAACTGTACTAGCGCTCTATCAAATATACCCTGTAAATATCGTCCACTCTACTTGTATTCTATTATATTACACCTTTATTTCGTTTTAAAGCGCATAATTGACTTACTATAGCTTTCTCCTCCAACTGCTGCACCCTTTTTGGCATAACATCCGACATAATTCGATTATTCGACATAATCCGATTATTCAACATTGAATGTATCACAGCGCAAACGCCTCAGCCCTTTAATTGCCAATAAACAAACGACCATTGGCATACTTTATGGAAAATCGAATCCCGTGAACGATAATAGGGTATCAATGACGATATAGCGCAATTTGGCAGGAGAGGCCAGCACCAGGGCGGGACGGTAGAGATGGCCTTCCAGGCGCTGCCGGGACGGACGGTAGAGATGGCCTTCCAGGCGCTGCCGGGACGGATGGAAGAGACGGCTTGCCAGGACGAGATGGAGTGAAGGGCGAGAAAGGCGACCAGGGTTTGTAAAGAGCAATTACAGAGATGTGTTTTGTCACCGTGGGTCCGTGAAAACTCCCTGTAGTGTAGATAATCACCAGGCGGCTATCGCTGTTCGCATGCACACTCGGTTGAGGTTCGTTATATATTTTTTCAGATTGTGCGTTTTTGAGCAATGATTTCGAAATTATTTAGACTGGAAGTAACGGTAACGAAGGCCTTACATTACAGGCCTTCCGGGTATCATGGGAGCCACAGGTGAGAAAGGTAATGCGGGAGTGAGTGCCACTCCAGCTGAATGCCCAGCGTGTGCGGCTAGGAAAATTCACCAGTGCGCGTGGGATAATGCTAACGATGGAAAAGATAGCGGATTGGTTCATGCAAGTATCATATCTATATCACCACTCAACACATCTTGGTTACTTACACCGAAATGCAAGCAGTTATCACGTCATTATAGGCTAGGCATGTGAAATCACAAGTATATCTTTATGGAAATTGCACTTAGTGGCAAGTTGGATTGTGATGCACCATATCCGATGGCTTTGGTTTCTCATTTTTAAATAGCCCCTTAACGAGGTTTACTGCTGCCCGCCCACCCCGCAGACGATAAGCTTAAATATCCGTACAAGTCTCGCTTACATTACACATTCCTAGCAATAGCAGCATTAGCAAGGCTGAGGATGACACCGGCTGCAGCGTCAGTTGGATAGGCACCACATTGCGTCAACATCCAGGACCAGGAGCCAAGCTGTGCAGTCGCTGGCAAACACTCCTCGCCTGCAACGGGCAGGCGAGTGTGGCACGACCGGCCGCGCATTGAGGCCCAACTCTACAGCGGGTGCTGGAGGGACTATCCATATACATGGCTTCGATACGTACGGGGGGTTTTTATTTGACAAGGCAAGCGATGGCCGAGAGTGATTTCGAAATACGCATTTCGAAAATTTGAGTCGGGGTTCCTAACAATAAGTTTGCGCGCACAGTTATGTTCTCATTCGGCGCTAAACTATCTTAACGCAGAACGTCAGACATTCGATAATATACTGGTGTATTGTTGACTAGTGGAAGGGCATCTGCTATGGCGCTGTGCTCACTGGTATACGTGAAACCGCTTACAGCCTGTACGTCGCAGACTGCCAGGAGGACCCGCACCACGAGGCGACAGCTACAACCTCCTGGATACGGTCTCACGCATGATCATCCGAGAAATTACCGCTTGCGTAAAACGGCGTTAGACAGCTTTTAGCGCATGCATATCTAATGCTATCTATCTAGGGGGGGGGAATGATATACCTATATATATTAATATTAATATATCCTTTTGAGGCTGTGACCTATGCGATCAAAACGAATATAGATTACTGTACTGTGTGTCTAAGGTAAACAGTAAATCGTAAAGGAATCGAAGTTTTCAAATCTGATAGTTCACATATACAAACAGTGAATATCGGATACAGTAGAGAAATGCTGCACATTTGTACATCTAAGATCAATTGCCAATGATTTGCGAGTCTATTACCCAGCACTTAACGTCTCAACGCTGTCCACAAAAATAATCATATAGGATTCAGCTGAGTCGGAGGCTGTAACCAACAGTGCTAGGTAGCTTATGACAATCATAAGCTACTAGTTACAAACACGCCAACTTCAATAGTCGATAAACCTTAAACAATGATAGATTTCTTTATGCAATCTCTATAAATGTCTAGTAACAAACCCTTATCATTATATAGGCAGTAATGCAACTAGACAACGAATTCTCATAGGTTTTTTATTAAAATCGATGGGCTATCATATAAGTAAGACCAGCTTTCAAATTGCTAAAATTTTACTATTATTATTCATTCTGGTGTGCTTGACTTCAGCAGTTTTCATGAGGAATGGGTACTTGTGTTTTAAATGGAGATGCCCTCCGTATCGTAGCATGACATAGTACATCAACTACCCCCTTGTAGTACTACATGACAAACATACCTTATATAGTCACACATGTATTTACTCGGCAAGTGACACCCGGTCCAGCGCGTAATTCTGAGGTCCACTTGAATGTATCAATAAATAATCTTCTCTGGCAACTCCGGGACCGCCCTTCCAACTGATGCGCACAAAGCTCTCACAATCAGCGCAAAAGACTCTAATGTAAACCAAACCACTTGTCAAGTGCATAAATTCAGCGCAAGCACCATGTATTGACTCAATCATTGTATTGCTGCTAGCATATCACTTACCATACCCCCCATGCATCTAAGGCATTCTATTTTTTATCTCATAAAACAACAACGGTTTAATCAAAATAAATTTACACACTATGCCAAATCAACATAGGAACACTTTTCATGCAATGCAGATAGAATTATGATGATGAAACTGGCTTAGGAAGAACCTAGGTGCTCGTAAACTTGAATATCGCATAGATCATTAGACATTCCCTAGAGTGCGTTTTCTAACTAACAACACGCACTAGACGTCTCGGACGGCCAAGACACGGAACGAACCGAACCGAACGCAACACACTCGAGGGAGCGCACCCCACCCACACCCCTCGGAGGGAGTAGCCACCGGCACCGAGCAGCGACACGCCGAGGAAGGTATACCTTATAACAAAGGGAGCTATAGGCATGACCCCGGACCAAGGAGACACACTGGCCACCCTACGACATCGGCGCCGCAGCAGTGGCGCACACGCACGAGGCAGAGACAGACGAAGGAGCGACGCACGGGGCGCTACAATATTACCCGTAGAATAGCTAAAGAGTTAGTTAAACGCTGTGTAATAGTAAGCCTAACAGACAGTAACAGTAAGCGTGACATGAGTATATATATCAATATATACTATATATCTATACGCTATATTTGAGAATACGTGCAGTGAATGTTTATGTCCGTATACCGATGAGATAAAACGATCCGTTTATAAAGACTATCTAAGGAGCTTGCGTCATTTCACTCTGGGTTTTTTTGTACTGCATCACGCGTCCTACCTCAAGGTAGGCGGCGAAAATTATCCCGACACAGAATAAATTACACGTGCTAACCACAGCACGTGTGAAAGTCCAGTGTGGCTACCCCTAGGGCCACTGCAATATGACATACACGCGTCACAGTGTGAAATAACCAATTTTACACTGTTATGTGTTGACAGTTTCACAGTGTTTACCTTCGCAGCTGTCTAGTTCGGAAATTTAGTAACCGGATTTAAAACGTTATAAACCTAAATAAACATCCTGTACCTATCCATCGTGTGTAGAATTTATAACATCCTATTTCCTGTATCCAAAATCCACATTGGTATAACTCCATCATCGTTATACATAAACTCACAGATGTCGAGTTTCCTTCTAATGCGCTTCTCGTGTTTCCAGCGTAAAATGATGCAGACCATACTTGTATGTTTTAATTTAATGTTGCTGTGTGCGTATTTAGGTGCAAATGCTGTTCCAGATATTCCGACCCAGCCTCTCCAGTGTGTGGTGAGTAGGACCATTCTAATTCTATGCGTGCATATATTTTACACCGACATGTAGGGTACAAATTAATAAAGAGATCGCGAATGTATATATTTTATGTCATGAATGATTTCACCTTCCCTTAAAACAAACTGTACTAGCTCTCTATCAAATATGCCCTGTAAATATCGTCCACTCTACTTGCATTCTATTATATTACACCTTTATTCCGTTTTAAAGCGCATAATTGACTTACTTCAGCCTTCTCCTTCAACTGCTGCACCCTTTTTGGCATAACATCCGACATAACGTTAAAGCGATTATTCAACCTTGAATCAATGTATCACAGCGCAAACGCCTCAGCCCTTTGATTGCCAATAAACATACGACCATTGGCATACTTTATGGAAAATCGAATCCCGTGAACGATAATAGGGTATCAATGACGATATAGCGCAATTTGGCAGGGGAGGCCAGCACCAGGGCGGGACGGTAAAGATGGCCTTCCAGGCACTGCCGGGACGGATGGAAGAGACGGCTTGACGGGACGAGATGGAGGGAAGGGCGAGAAAGGCGACCAGGGTTTGTAAAGAGCAATTACAGAGATGTGTTTTGTCACCGTGGGTCCGTGAAAAATCGCTGTAGTGTAGAAAATCACCAGGCGGCTATCGCTGTTCGCATGCACACTCGGTTGAGGTTCGCTATATATTTTTTTAGATTGTGCGTTTTTGAGC